TTTTATAAGGAAAAATATCACTATCAAGAGCAAATAAACTATTTTTACTGAAGGTTAAGTGTCAAAATTGAGAGATTAGTGCAATTTTTTAAAGCTTAAACTAAGCATAATGTACCTTAATCACCAATATTATTTGCCCTTATAAATATTGAAGAAAAGAAAATAATTAATTAATTAGTTATTTAGTTAGTTAGAAGGAAAAAGTGAATAAAAAATATGAAATTAATAATAAGAAATTATTTAATTAATTAATAATAAAAGCAAATGCTCAAAATAAAAAAATTAAAATTAAGAAATTTTGAAGAAAAAAAACACTAATATAATAAAAGAGAATAAGAAAACCAAATTAAATAAATAAATAAATAAATAACTAATAAACAAATTAAAAGAGTTACTTATATTTGTTTAAATTCATTTTTATAAAAAAAATATCAACAACACAATCCAAAACAAACAAACAAATAAACTGTTTTTACCTAAATTCAAGTGTCAAATTTGAGAGATTAGTGAAATTTGCTAAAGCAGAACCTAAGTCTGATGCGCCTTTATCACCAATTCCACTCCAACTTTTTAAATATTGAAAAAAAAAAAAATAATTAATTAGTTATTTAGATAAATCAAATAAACATCTAATAAACTAATTAAAAGAGTTATATTTTTTAAATTGATTTTTATAAGCAAAAATATCAGAATCCAAAATAAATAAACTGTTTTTACTTAAGTTTAAGTGTCAAATTTGAGAGTTTAGTGCAATTAGCTAATGCAGAAGCTAAGCCTGTTGCACCTATTTAACCAATTAAATTGTCACTTTTTAAATATTGAAGAAAATAAATAAAATTAATTAGTTTTTTAGAAGGAAAAAGTGAAGAAAAAATATGAAATAATAAGAAATTAATTAATTAATTAATAATAAAAGCAAATAAATGTTGAAAATAAAAAATGAACTAAATTAAGAAAAATACAAGAAGAAAAAAACAAGTAGAATAAAAAACAAAAAGAAAAGTAAATTAAATAAAATAAAATGCTAATAAGAATATTAAAATAATTATTGCTTAAATTCATTTTTTATAAGAAAAAAATATCACAATCTCAAACAAATAAACTGTTTTTACGTAAGATCAAGTGTCAAGTTAGAGAGATTCGTGCAATTTGCTAAACCAGAACTTAAGTCTAATGCATTTGCTGCATTAATTTAATTGTTACTTTTTAAATATTGAAGAAAAAATATATCATTAATTAATTAATTAGTTATTTAGAAGCAAAAAGTGAAGAAAAAATTACAAATTAATTAATAATAAAAGCAAATACATGTTGAAAATAAAAAAATGAGTTAAAATAAGAAAAATTAAATAAATAAATAAACAACTAATATAAAAATTAAAAGAGATTTATTGTTAAAAATTCATTTTTTTAAGGAAAAATATAACAATCCAAAATGAATAAACTGTTTTTACTAAAGAACAAGTTGCAAGTTTGAGAGATTAGTGAAATTAGCTAAAACAGAACCAAAACTTGATGCACCAATTTATCTTTTTTTTTTCTTACAACAAATTTATTTGAGAATGCGAAGAAATTCATAGATTTTGATACTTTTTTTTACAAAAAAATCTAAGAAAAAAGAAATATTAACTTCAAAAATCAATAAAGAAATAAACAAATGATTAATATAAAAAATAAATTAATAAATTAAATAAAATGTTTAATTCTAAGAAATATTTCTGAGTGTATAAATAAATAAATACATGCATTTATATGCAGGATTATGATAACCATTACCAATTTAATTGTCACTGTTTAAATATTAAAGAAAAAATATAATTTAATTAGTTATTTAGAAGAGAAAAATGAAATAATAGGAAATTTATTAATAAATTAATAAATAATAAATGCAAATGCTGAAAATAAAAATAAGTTAAATTTAGAATGATATTAGAAGAAGAAGAAAAAATATAAGTATAATAAAAAAGAAAAAGAAAGTAAATCAAATAAACAGCTGATAAGCAAATTAAAAGAGTTAGTTATTTTGCTATAAATTCATTTTTTTAAGGAAAAATATCACAATCCTAAACAAATAAACTGTTATTACGAAAGATCAAGTGTCAAATTTTAGAGATTAGTGCAATTAGCTAAAGCAGAACCTAAGCCTGATAAACCTATTTAACCAATTTAATTTAACCTTTTTAAATATTAAAGAAAAAATATAAAAACTAAATTTTTTTTATTCTAAATTTATAATTTTAAAAATTTTTATTTTAGATTTATACATAATTAATTTAAATTTGTTTTTAATTTATAATAAATTATTTATTCAATGAATAAATAAATAAATAAATAAATAAATAATAAAAGCAAATAAATAAATGTTGAAATTAAAAAAATGAGCTAAATTAATAAACATAAAAGAAGAAAAAACAAACACAAGTACAATAAAAAAGAAAAATATTGTAAATCAAATGAACAGCTAATAAAAAAATTAAAAGAGTTAGTTAAATTTTTTTTTTAAATTCATTTTTATAACTAAAAATAAATATCACAATCCAAAAGAAATAAATTGTTTTTACTTAAGACTAAGTGTCAAATTTGAGAGATTAGTGCAATTTGCTAAAGCAAGGCCTAAACCTGAAGCAGTTTTATTACCAATTTCACCTTAACTTTTTAAATATTGAAGAAAAAATATATCATTAAATAGTTATTTAGAAGGAAAAAATATAAAATAATAAGAAATAAATGAATTAATAAATAAATAAATAATAAAAGCAAATAAATAAATGTTGAATATAAAAAATGAGTTAAATTAAGTCAGATAGAAGAAGAAAAAACACAAGTACAATAAAAAACGAAAAGAATAATAAGTAAATCAAATGAACAGCTAATAAACAAATTAAAAGAGTTAGTTATATATATTGTTTAAATTCATTTTTTTACTAAAAATAAATATCACAATCCAAAACAAATAAACTATTTTTACTCTAGAAAAAGTGTCAAATTCGAGAGATTAGTGCAATTTGCTATAGCAAGACCTAAACTTGATGCAACTTAATCACCAACTTAATTGCTTCTTTTTAAATATTGAAGAAAAAATATATAATTAATTTGTTATTTAGAAGGAAAAAATGAATAAATAATATGAAATAATAAAAAATAAATGAATGAATTAATAAATAAATAATAAAAGCAAATAAATGTTGAGTATAAAAAAGAGTTAAATAAGTCAGATAGAAGAAGAAAAAACACAAGTACAAAAAAAAAGGAAAAGAATAGTTAATAAAAAAACAGCTAATAAGCAAATTAAAACCGTGTTATAATGTTTAATTAAATTCATTTTTATAAGGAAAAATATCACAATCCAAAACAAACAAATAAATAAACTGTTTTTACATAAGATGAAGTGTCAAATTTGAGAGATTAGTGCAATTTGCTAAACCAGAACCTAAGCCCGATGCAAATTCTGCATCAATTTTATCACACCTTTTTAAATATTGAAGAAAAATTATATAATTAATTTGTTATCTAGAAGGAAAAAAAATGAAGAAGAAATATGAAATAATAAGAAATGAAAGAATTAATAAATAATAAAAGCAAATAAATGTTGAGTATAAAAAAGAGTTAAATTAAGTCAGATAGAAGAAGAAAAAACACAAGTACAATAAAAAAGGAACAGAATAGTTAATAAAAAAAATAGCTAATAAGCAAATTAAAACCATGTTATAATTTTTAATTAAAATCATTTTTATAAGGAAAAATATCACAATCCAAAACAAACAAACAAATAAATAAACTGTTTTTACTTAATATGAAGTACCAAATTTGAGAGATTAGTGCAATTTGCTAAACCAGAACCTAAGCCCGATGCAAGTTTTGCATCAATTTTATCACACCTTTTTAAATATTGAAGAAAAAATATATAATTAATTTGTTATCTAGAAGGAAAAAATGAAGAAGAAATATGAAATATTAAATATGAAAGAATTAATAAATAATAAAAGCAAATAAATGTTGAATATAAAAAAGAGTTAAATTAAGTCAGATAAAAGAAGAAAAAACACAAGTACAATAAAAAAGGAAAAGAATAATAAGTAAATCAAATAAACAGTTAATAAATAAATTAAAAGAGTAAAATTATTTTAAATTCATTTATAGAACAAAAAATATCACTATCCAAAACAAATAAACAAATAAACTATTTTTACCAAAAAAAAAGTGTCAAATTTGAGTTAGAGTGATTTGCTAAACAAGAACCTAAGTTTAATGCACTTGTTAAATTAATTTAATTCTCACTTTTTAAATATTGAAGAAAAAATATATAATTAATTAATATTTAAATATATAAATAATAAAAGCAAATTTTGAAAATTAAAAAATGAATTAAATTAAGAAATATAAAAGAAGAAAAAACACAAGTACAATAAAAAGCTAAAACAAAAGAAAATTAAATAAAACTCGAATAAATAAATTAAAAGAGTTTTTTGTTATAAATTCATTTTTATAACGGAAAATATCACAATCCAAAACAAAGAAATAAACAATTTTTACTAAAAATAAAGTGTCAAATTTGAGAAATTAGAGCAATTTGCTAAACCAGAACCTAAGTTTGATGCATCTTAATCGCTAATTAAAATTCCACTTTTTAAATATTGAATAAAAAATATATCATTAATTAGTGATTTAGAAGGAAAAAATGAAAAAAAAAAAATGAAATAATAAGAAATCAATTAATTAATATATAATAAAAGTAAATGTAGAATATAGAAAAATGAGTTAAATTAAGTAAGAAAGAAAGAAAGAAAGAAAGAAAGAAAAAACACACAATTACAAAAAAAAACAAATCAAATAAAAAAATTATAAAAGTTTAAAAATTTTCTATTATACTCATTTTTATAACAAAAAATATCACAACCCAAAACTTAAAAACAGTTTTTATCAAGTAAAGATTTAGAAAATGAATTTAAAAACATTTAGATTGAAGAAAGAGTTAAAATAGCTAAAAAAACATTCTTATAAATAAAATGAATAAATATAAGTGATAATTTCTATTATAAAAATAGTTTTTAAATAAACTGAAAGTTAAATAAAAATAAAGAAAATATTAATAATAATGCTTATAAAATAAATATACTAGAGATCTAAATTGATAACCTAATGAGATAAAAATGGAGAGTTTAAAAACTTTTTTTATTAATTTATATAAATTTAAAGTATATTGATAAAAAAATTAATTTTTACTTGTTATAATCTTATTTTATATTAAATCTATTATATCATTTATTTTTTTTTTCAAAAATATTGAATAGAAATTTATAGAAATTTAATTAATTAATTATAAGTGAATAAAAAGTACAAATAAATTATATGAATTTATAATTTTGCCTTTAATTAAGGAAATCACAAAAAAGTAAGTTAGTGAGTGAGTGTATCAAATTCATTATTAATCTTAATATTTCTATTTCAAGTGTGTACTTAAAAATATAGTAGAAACAACAGATTAGACAGACATAAATGATAATGGCAATGCGAACTCACTAGAATAAAATAATTTTTTGAAGTATTTACTTATATTGTAAATAGATTAATTTTCATATTTTTTAAATTTTACATTTTTATTTTTGAATCATCAAAATTAACTACTTAATAAAAATTATTTTTATAAAATTTAAGGAAAGTAATTACTATAATTTTTCAAGGTATAAACTATCAATTTCTAATTGCTATTATATATTTAAGAATAGGATAATTTAATAAATAATATTAAATAAACTTTTTTGTGATATTTCTTCTTAAAAGTAAATTTATAAATTCATATTTGATAATTATAATTATTTATTTGTTGGTTTTATCCAAATTAATATGAAATTAAAGTCAATTGATTTTTAATATATTAGATAGAATTAATTAAATTTCCATATTAGATAGCTATTCAATATTTTAGAAAAAAATAAATAAATGATATAAAAGGAATAACATTTCTACAATCTAGAAAGAGTAAATATTTATCTTTTTAAATTTATTATAAATTTATTTTTATGAAAAAAAAAGTTTAAAAACTCTTCTCTTAAATCTCATTAGGTTCTCCATATTGATCTGAGCGGGTATATTTAATTATTAATATTATTATTATTAATGCTTATTTATTTTTATATTTATTTACAATACTTTTTCTAATTAATTATTTTAATTTAATTTTCATTTATAACTTTTGATTTAATTAATTAATTTCTTATTATTTCATATTTTTCCTTCATTTTTTCCTTATAACTAACTAATTAAATATATTTTATTATTCAATATTTAAAAAGTGACAAAAAAATTGATGATGACAATAATAATATAGTCACACAAAAATACATGTATTTATTTATTTATACACTCAGAAATATTACTTAAAATTAAACACATATATTTAATTTTTTAATTTATTTATTTTGTTAATTATTTATTTACCGTAGAATACCTGTTAATTAGCAAAAAAAAAGATATGAGATTTTGTGAATTTTTTCACTACAAAAATTTTACCTTAAAATTTGCGACTTAGAGGATTGCGAATTAACTAACGGGTATTCTACGGTATTACTTTATTCATTTTTGAATTTTATATATCTTTTTTCTTAAAGTTTTTTTTTGGCAAAAAAAATAAAAAAAGTATCAGATTCTATGAATTTGTTCACACTTTCAAACAAATTTTTGGCAAAACAAAAAACAAAAATACCAAAATAGATAATGAAGGTGCATCAGTCTTAAGTACTGCTTTGGCAAAATGCACTAATCTCTCAAATTTGACACTTAATCTTGAGTAAAAATAATATATTTTTAAATTGAGATATTACTTCAAATAAAAACTAATTTGAAACAATATAACTTAAATAATTTATTTATTAACTTATTAATTGATATTTATTTTTTTTCATTTTTATTCAGCTTTATTTTTTTCTTCTTTCTTAATTAATTTAACTAATTTTTTATTTTAAACTTTTATTATTTATATCAATTAATCAATCAATCAATTAATTAATTAATTATATTTATTTCATTTTTTTTCTTCATTTTTTCCTTAAAAGGAATTAATTAATAATATTTTTCTTAAATATTTAAAAAGGTCAAATTAAATTGGTGATAAAGGTATATCAGACTTAGGTTATGGTTTAGCAAACTGCATTAATCTCTCAAATTTGACAATCAATCTCTTGTATAAACAGCTTATTTGTTTTAGATAAAATTTAAAATAAAATTATTCTTTAATAATTTATTTATTAGTTTTATATTTGATTTATTTTTCTTTTTCTATTTGATTAAGCTTTTTTTTTGATTGTTAATTTAACTAATTTTTTCATTTAAAATTATTTCTTATTTTATTAAAGAATAGTTTTCTTATTATTTCATATTTTTCCTTCATTTTTTTCTTCATACTAACTAACTAATTTATTATATTTTATCTTCAAAATTTAAACAGTAAAAATAATGTTGGCGCAGTTGGTGCATCAGGCTTAGGTTCTGATTTAGGAAAGTGTTCTAATCTCTCAAATTTGACACTTAATCTTAGGTAAAAAAGGTTTATTTGTTTTTGATTGTGATATTTTTTCATATAAAAATGAATTTAAAATAAAATAAATCTATCTTTTAATAATTTATTTATTAGCTTTTTATTTAATTTACAGTATTCGAACATATAAATAGCCATATATAATTAATAATCTATTCAATAACAAATTTTTTCACCTTTATTTAATGATTATATCACATCTTTACTACCTATAATATATGTAATTCTAGCAGTATTTTAATTAGAGCTCAGACTACCATTTATTTTATGATGCTACTTTGATATTTTAGTTTTTGAATTAATTGTGATATTCCTTTGCTGATAAATTTAATTATATCATCTATACTTTTAATTCTATATAATATTTTTATTATGTTATGATAGAGTAAATAATTTTTATAAGATAAAGTATCTTTTATGGAATAAAAATCTTAATTTATCAATCTATATAAAAATGATAAGTGTTACTTTAAGGTTAGAAAACTTTATTTTTCATTTTTATTTAATATAGCTCATTTTTTCATATTCAACTTTCTTTTGCAATTATGATTAATTTCTTATCATTTCATATTTTTTCTTAATTTTTTCTTTCTAAATAACTTTTTCCTTCAATATTTAAAAAGTTTCAATTAAATTGGAGCAATTGGCGCATCAATATTATGTTCTGGTTTAGCAAAGTGTATTAACCTTTCAAATTTGACACTAAATCTTAGGTAAAAAAAGTTTGTTTATTTTATTGTGAAATTTTTGAATATAAAATAAATTAAAAAAAAAATAACTCTTTTTATAAATAATCCTCTTATTTGATTTATTTTTATTTTTTATTATTATTCTGCTTGTGTTTTTCTTTCTACTTTTCTTGATTTAATTAATTTTTTCATTTCAACTTTTACTTTTATTATTAATTAAATTATTCATTTACTACTATTTCATATTTTTCTTCTAATTAACAAATTAATTTTTTATTTTTCTACAATATTTTAAAAGTTAGAATTAAATTGGTGACGAAGGTGCATCAGGCTTAGGCTCTAGTTTAGCAAACTTCACTAATCTCACAAGTTTGACACTTAATCTATAGTAAAAAAAGTTTATTTGTTTTGGAATGTGACAACATTTTAATATAAAAATGAATTTAAAATAATATAACTCTTATTTATCTATTAGGTTTTTAATTGATTTATTTTTTATTTTGCTTGTTTTACTTTTCCTTCCTTTGTTTATAAACTAATATTTTTTAATCATTTTTTCCTTCTAACTGATTAATTAATTAATTATTTTTTTTTTTTAATATTTAAAAAGTTCCAATTAAATTAGCGATAAAGGTGTATCAGATTTAGGTTTGGCTTTATCAAACTGCACTAATCTCTTATATTTGAAGCTTTATCTTCTGTACAAACAGTTTATTCGTTTTTGATTATGATATTTTTTAATATAAAAATTAATTTAAAACAATAGAGCTTAATAATTTATTTATTAGCTTTTAACTAATTAATTTTTCATTTTTATTTTGATTGTTTTTTTTTTCTTAGTTGATTTAACTAATTTTTGTATTTTCAACTTTTGATTTTATTATTAATTGATTTATTTTTTATTATTTTATTTTATCCTTCTAAATAACTAATTAATTATATTCATTTTTTCTTCAATATTAAAAAGCGATAATTAAATTGGATTTGAAGGTTCATTAGGCTTAGGTATTGGTTTAGAAAAATGCACTAATCTCTAAAATTTGATACTTTTTCTATAGTAAAAACATTTTATTTACTTTTTATGATATTTTTTAACATAAAATTAATTTAAAACAAAAAAACTCATTAATTAACTAAATAATTAATTTATCAGCTTTTAATTTTATTTATTTTTCTTTGTCTTTTTTATTAATTAATTTAAAATATAAGTTTTAATTTATAAATTTTATTCTATTTATTTTTTTATTAATTTATGTTAAAAGTGTAACCATAACCGATGAATCATAATATTTGAAAGTAAAAAGCAAGTGTCTTAAATCAAAAAGATTAGTTGTCTTTAAAATTTTTTATAGGTGATAAAAAAGTGGCAAAAAAAGGCCAATAATATAATATTATAACATTAATAACTTATTTTATATTTATCGCATTCACTACAATAAATTCTTTAATTTGTGTTATAAAAATTAAATTATGGTAAATGTAATTAAAATTGTTTCTTATTCTATTTTATTAATTTCTTTTTTATTTATTTTTTATTTTTTTAAATTTAAATTTTTAATTGTTAAATTGTTAATTTATGATATGCAATACATATTTCTATTTATTAATAATTTTTAATAATATCATATACATATTATTTATACTAATTTAATCTTTATTCAATCAATATTTTTTGATTAACCAATATAAAGAATTTATTTTTTATCTTTCAAATTTATATAAATAATAATATTATTTTTTAATTATTTTAATTAAATTTATTAGTTTAAAATTAATTGTGAGTCTGTTGCCGTTAAAAAATTTTCTTTTTGTCAAAGAATCAATTTCTACCCCTATATAAAAATTTATTTGTTGGTTTTAATCAAATTAATTTCAAATAAAAGTAAATTACTTTTTAATATACTGATTATTAATTAATTAATTAAATTTCCAAAGAGGTTTTCAATATTTTTGATAAAAAAAATAAATGATGTAAAAGGAATAACATTTCTACAATATAGAAAAAGTATTTTGTTTATCTTTATATTTATATTATAAATTTATTTTTAATAATGAAAAAAGTTTATAAGCTCTTCACTTAAATCTCATTAGGTTCTCCATATTAATCTGAGCAGGTATATTTAATTTATTAATATTATTATTCATGCTTATTTAGTTTTTAAGTTATTTAAAATATTTTTTCAAACAGAAATTCTTATTTATTTTCATTCATTTTTATTTATTTAATTATTTTATTTTATTTTAATTTTCATTTACAATTTTAGATTTAATTACTAATTAATTAATTCACTTCTTATTAATTTTCCTGCATTTTTTACTTCTAACTAACTAATTAAATATATTTTTTTCTTCAATATTTAAAAAGTGACAAAAAAATTGATGATGATAATAACAATATAGTCACACATAATTACATGTATTTATTTATTTATACACTTAGAAATATTTCTTAAAATTAAACAAAAATATTTAATTTATAAACTTATTTATTTTGTTAATTATTGATTTATTGCTTTATTCATTTTTGAAGCTTAAATTACTTTTTTCTAAAAGTCTTTTTTTTGGCAAAAAATATAAAAAGTATCAGACTAAATGAATTTCTTCGCATTTTCAAAGAAATTTGTGGCAAAACAAAAAACAAAAGTACCAAAATAGATGATGAAGGTGCATCAGTCTTAAGTTCTGCTTTGGCAAAATGCACTAATCTCGCAAATTTGACACTTAATCTTGAGTAAAAACAGTTTATTTTTAAATTGTGAAATTATTTGAAATAAATAATAATTTTAAATAAATTAACTTATATAATTTATTTATTAACTTTTTAATTGATACATTTTTTTTTTTCATTTTTATTCAGTTTTATTTTTTTCTTCTTTCTTTGTTAATTTAACTCATTTTTTATTTTAAACTTTTATTATTTATATCAATTAATTAATTTTTATTATTTCATATTTTTTTCTTCATTTTTTGCTTATAAATAATTAATAATATTTTTTCTTAAATATTTAAAAAGGTAAAATTAAATTGGCGATAAAGGTACATCAGATTTAAGTTCTGGTTTAGCAAAGTGCACTAATCTTTCAAATCTGGCACTTCATCTCTAGTATAAACAGTTTATTAATTTTAGATTGTGATATTTTTTAATATATAAAGAATTTAAAAAATTTTTCCTTCATTTTTTTCTTCATACTAACTAACTATTTTATTATATTTTTTCTTCAATATTTAAACAGTTAAAATAAAATTGGTGCAGCTGGTGCTTCAAGCTTAGGTTCTGATTTAGGAAAGTGCTCGAATCTCTCAAATTTGACACTTAATCTTAGGCAAAAAAGTTTATTTGTTTTCGATTGTGAAATTTTTTAATTTAAAAATGAATTTAAAATAATATAGATCTATCTTTTAATAATTTATTTATTAGCTTTTTATTTAATTTACAGTAATAAATAATCATATTTAATTAATAGATAAAATACAATCAATAATAAATTCAACAATCCCTTTTTTCACTTTTATTAAATGATTAGAAAACATCATTACTGTCAAGAATATATGTAATTCTAGTAGTCTTCTAATATAAGCTCTGACCACTATTTTCTGATGCTACTTTGATATTTTACTTTTTAATTAATGTGATATTCCTTTGCTGATAAATTTAATTATATCATATATACTTTTAATTTTACATAATATTTTAATTATATTATGATAGAGTAAATAATTCTCTATAAGATGAACTATCTATTTATTATTGAATAAAAGTCTTAATTTATTGATCTAAAAAAAAATGATAAGTGTCACTTATTGGCTCGAAAACTTTATTTTTCATTTTTATTTTGTTTATTTTTGTTAATATAACTCATTTATTCATTTTCAACTTTTTCACTTATGTATGATTAATTTTTATCATTTCATATTTTTTCTTTCTAAATAACTTATTAATTATATTTTTTCTTCAATATTTAAACAGTAAAAATAAAATTGATGCAGTTGGTGCATCAGGCTTAGGTTCTGGTTTAGCATAGTGCTCTAGCCTCTCAAATTTAACACTTAATCTTAGGTAAAAAAAGTTTGTTTGTTTGTTTGCTTTGATAGTGATAATTTAAAACAAAACAACTAACTCTTCAATAATTTATTTTTAACTTCTTATTTGATTTATTTTTATTTTTTATTCTGCTTGTGTTTTTCTTTCTATTTTTCTTAATTTAATTAATTTTTTATCATTTTCAACTTTTGCTTTAATTATTAATTGATTTATTCATTTATAATTATTTCTTCTTCTTATTTTCCACTAATTAACAAATCAATTATATTTTTTTTTTCAATATTTAAAAAGTTAGAATTAAATTGGTGACGAAGGTACATCAGGCTTAGGCTCCGGTTTAGCAAAGTGCACTAATCTTTCAAGTTTAACACTTGATCTATAGTAAAACGAGTTTATTTGTCTAGGATTGTGACACTATAAAAAGAATTTAAAACAATATGACTTTTATTTATTTATTTATTAGGCTTTTAATTGATTTATATTTATTGTCTTTTTTATTCTGCTTTCTTTGTTTTTTCTTTCTTTGTTAATTAACTAATGTTTTTTAATCATTTTTTCCTTCTAACTGATTAATTAATTATATTTTTTTTCAATATTTAAAAAGTTCCAATTAAATTAATGATAAAGGTGCATCAGATTTAGGTTTTGCTTTATCAAAACGCACTAATCTCTTATATTTGAAGCTTTATATTCTGTAAAAACAGTTATTCCTTTTTGATTGTTATATTTTTAATATAAAAATGAATTAAAAAAATATAGCTAAAAAATTTATTTATTAGCTTTTAATTAATTAATTAATTATTTTTTATTTTGATTGTATTTTTTTTTCTTCTTTATTTGTTAATTTACTAATTTTTGTTTTTTCAACTTTTGATTTTATTATTAATTGATTTATTTTTATTATTTCCTTTTTTTTCATCATTTTATCCATTTAAATAGCTAATTAATTATATTTATTTCTTCTTCAATATTTAAAAAGTGACAATTAAATTGGATATGAAGGATAATTAGGCTTAGGTATTGGTTTAGAAAAATGCACTAATCTCTAAAATTTGATACTTTTTCTTTTGTAAAAACAGTCTATTTACTTTGGATTATTTATGTTATTTTTTAACATAAAATTAGTTTAAAATAATATGACAGATTAATTAATTTATTGGCTTTTAATTTGATTTATTTTCTTTGTCTTTTTTATTAATTTATTCTTTAATTTATAAATTTTATTCTTTTTATTTTTTTATTATTTAAACTAAAAGCTCAACCACAACCGATGAATCATAATATTTGAAAGTAAAAAGCAAGTGTCTTAAATCAAAAAGATTAGTTATCTTTAAAATATATTATAGGTGATAAAAAAGTGGTAAAAAAAGACAAATAATATAATATTAATATTATAACATTAGTAACTTTTATAATATTTATCTCGCATTCAATACAATAAATTCTTTAATCTGACATTTAAATATTGTTTTTCAATCATAAAGTAAAAACAAGTACATTTTGCATTAATCAATCGTAAAGTAAAAATAATTATCATTTGTATAAATTAACATATTTAAAATCAAAGAAAATGCAAAAAATGATAATAATTTGTATTGTTTAAAATCAAAGAAATGTAGAAAATGAATTTAAAAATACATACAGTAAAAAAATAAAAACAAGAAACTCTTTATATGTTTTAGTGATGTATAATAAATAATTCGTTTAAAAAATTAGTGGTTAAAAGAAAATACAGTTTATGTTATTTTTAGAATTTTGATATTTTTTATAATCTTTAAAAAAGTGCATATGATAAATAAAATATTATAAAAAGTAAATTAAAATCAAATAAATTTTAATATTTTTAAGAGTAAATTATTTAAAATATAATACTAAAAATATAAAATGATTTGATCATTTTTTTATTATTTATAAGCTATTTATTAAATTATAAAAATATGATATTATTAAATATAAAAACAATAATAAAATCTATTTTTAGGTAAAAAAACTTTTTAAAAATATTAAAAAATAAAACATATAATTAATATTCAATTATTAAAACATTTATTTAATATTTATTCATACTTTTTTACCACTTGTTTATCATCAACAATTTATTTAAAAGACAACTAATCTTTTTGATTTAAGACACTTGCTTAATGATTTATTCGTTTTGTTTTAACTTTTTTAATAAATTTGTAAATTTTAATGAAATATTAAATAAAATAAAATTATAAAATAAAAATTATTTCTTTTTATAAATAAATAAAATAAAGTTAGTGGAATAAAAAAGATTAAAAAAAATCAAATAAAAGCTGTCAAATCATTTCAAGGAGCTTTATTGTTTTAAATTAGTTTTTATAATTAAAAATATCACAATCCAAAACAAATAAACTGTTTTTACAGAAGATCAAGTGTCAAATTTAAGAGATTAATGCATTTAGCTAAACCAGAACATAAGTCTGATGTACCTTCGTCACCAATTTAATTATCACTTTTTAAATATTGAAGAAAAAATACATGATTAAATAGTTAATTAGAAGGAAAAAATGAACAAAAAATATGAAATAACAAGATTAATTAATATTAAAAGTAAAAGTTGAAAAAAAAGTGAAGAGTTAAATTAACAAAGAAAGAACAAAAAAAAAGCAAGCACAATAAAAAGAAAAAAGAGCTTTATTGTTTTAAATTAGTTTTTATAATTAAAAATATCACAATCCAAAACAAAATAAACTGTTTTTACAGAAGAATAAGTGTCAAATTTGAGAGATTAATGCATTTAGCTAAATCAGAACCTAAGCCTGATGCACCTTCGTCACCAATATAATTGTTACTTTTTAAATATAGAATAAAAAATATATCATTAAATAGTACAAAGAAAGAACAAAAAAAAAAAGTAAGCAAAATAAAAAAAGAGCTTTATTGTTTTAAATTAGTTTTTATAATTAAAAATATCACAATCAAAAACAAATAAACTGTTTTTACACAAGATTAAGTGTCAAATTTGAGAGATTAATGCATTTAGCTAAACCAGAACCTAAGCCTGATGCACCTTCATCACCAATTAAATTGTAACTTTTTAAATATTGAAGAAAAAATACATGATTAAATAGTACAAAGAAAGAAAGAAAAAAAAAGCAAGCAAAATAAAAAAAGAGCTTTATTGTTTTAAATTAGTTTTTATCATTAAAAATTTCACAATCCAAAACAAATAAACTGTTTTTACCAAAGATCAAGTGTCAAATTTGAGAGATTAATGCACTTAGCTAAACCAGAAACTAAGCCTGATGCACCTTCGTCACCAATATAATTGTTACTTTTTAAATATTGAAAAAAATATATATTATTAAATAGTTAATTAGAAGGAAAAAATGAAGAAAAATATGAAATAATAAGATTAATTAATTAATAATCAAAGCAAAAGTTGAAAATAAAAGGATAATTTAAATTAACAAAGAAAGAACAAAAAAAAAGCAAGCAAAATTAAAAAAGAGCTTTATTGTTTTAAATTAGTTTTATCATTAAAAATATCACAATCCAAAACAAATAAACTGTTTTTACCTAAGATGAAGTGTCAAATTTGAGAGATTAATGCATTTAGCTAAACCAGAACCTAAGCCTGATGCACCTTCGTCACCAATTTAATTGCTTCTTTTTAAATATTGAAAAAAATATATATCATTAAATAATTAATTAGAATGAAAAAATGAAGAAAAATATGAAATAATAAGATTAATTAATTAATAATAAATGCTAAAGTTGAAAATAAAAGGATGAGTAAAATTAACAAAGAAAGAACAAAAAAAAAGCAAGCAAAATTAAAAAAGAGCTTTATTGTTTTAAATTAGTTTTTATAATTAAAAATATCACAATCCAAAACAAATAAACTATTTTTACTAAAGATCAAGTGTCAAATTTGAGAGATTAATGCATTTAGCTAAACCAGAACCTAAGCCTGATGCACCTTCTTTACCAATTTAATTATCACTTTTTAATTATTGAATAAAAAATATATCATTAAATAGTTATTTAGAAGGAAAAAATGAAGAAAAAATATGAAATAATAAGATTAATTAATTAATAATAAAAGTAAAAGTTGAAAATAAAAGGATGAGTAAAATCAACAAAGAAAGAACAAAAAAAAAGCAAGCAAAATTAAAAAAGAGCTTTATTGTTTTAAATTAGTTTTTATCATTAAAAATATCACAATCTAAAACAAATAAATTGTTTTTACCGAAGATCAAGTGTCAAATTTGAGAGATTAATGCACTTAGCTAAACCAGAACCTAAGCCTGATGCACCTTCTTTACCAATTTAATTCTCACTTTTTAATTATTGAATAAAAAATATATCATTAAATAGTTATTTAGAAGGAAAAAATGAAGAAAAAATATGAAATAATAAGATTAATTAATTAATTAATAATAAAAGTAAAAGTTGAAAATAAAAGGATGAGTAAAATCAACAAAGAAAGAACAAAAAAAAAGCAAGCAAAATTAAAAAAGAGCTTTATTGTTTTAAATTAGTTTTTATCATTAAAAATATCACAATCTAAAACAAATAAATTGTTTTTACCGAAGATCAAGTGTCAAATTTGAGAGATTAATGCACTTAGCTAAACCAGAACCTAAGCCTGATGCACCTTCGTCATTAATATAATTGTAACTTTTTAAATATTGAAAAAAATATATATCATTAAATAGTTAATTAGAACAAAAAAACGAAGAAAAAATATGAAATAATAGATGGGATTTTAAATTTTAAATCTGATTTTTTTTTCAAAAAAATGATATGTTGATAGAATGTAGGATATACATTATTTCAAATTTTACATTTTGTGAATTTAAAGCTTTCTAAAAACTCAAAAATAAAGTTATTTAAAGCTAATTTAGCTTTATTTATTATGTTATTAAGATATATTACATTTTACCTTTTGTAAATTAAATATGCATTTCACTCTAGTTAATTAACAAAGAATGAAAATAAAAAGAAAAAGGAAAATAAATCAAATAAGTTAAAAGAGCTTTAATGTTTTAAATTAACTTAAATAATTAAAAATATTACAATCCAAAACTAATAAATTGCTTTTATTAAGGGGAAATTTTAATAGCAAAAAATGAAGAAGAAAAAAATAAATAATAAAAATGAATAATAAATAAATAATTAAAAATTGAATAGAAAATTAAGTTAAAATAGCTAAAAAATCTTTGTTTTAATAAAAATCAATGAATAATGGTGATAATTTCTATAATAAAAATTATTTATTTTAATAAATTAAAAGTTAAATTTATAAAAAATGTTAATCATAATAAAAATAATATTTATAAATAAAATATACTTTAGATCAATATTTAGATCAATATGGAGAACCTAATGAGATGAAAGTGAAGAGCTTAAAAACTTTTTTTATTAATTAAAATAAATTTAAAGGATATTAATAAAAAAATTAATAATTACATCTTCGAGTTCTTAATAATATTTAATCTATTATATCATTTATTTATTTATTTATTTTTTCAAAAATATTGAATAGCAGAAATTTATGGAATTTAATTAATTAATTAATTAATTATAGATGGGTAAAACGAACAAATAAAATATAATAATTAATTAATTAATTATCAAATATTAATTTATAAATTTGGTTAAATGAAGAAATATCACATACAAATTAATTAACATTCATTATTTAATCTTAATATTTGTATTTAAAACAATAACTTAAAAATATAATAGGAATTAGAGATGCGCAGTTAGCAATATTTGAAAGAATTCTAATAGTTAATTAATTAATTAATGTTCTTAAATTTTATAAAAATAATGTTTATAAGTAGACTTTTCTGTTTTAGCTCTGTAGTTAATTATAGGAATATTTATAATATCTCTAATTATTCTCTAATCACATTAGTTTTTTTTTGTAAGCACATTTTATTTAGGTATAGATTGCATCCACTAAATAAGTAAGTGCATTTAATACCAACATAAATAACTTTTTAATAAATAGAGTTACTCTAAATAATATTTTTATTTTTAAAATTGAGGGCTTAATTAATTTTGAAGCATTAAAATGCTTAAATATTATTTATTACATCTAATTTTTGAAGCAGTATTTCATTATTAAATATCTCATAATGAATACATCAGAATCTATCTATAAACTGTTTGTAAATATTTTAACTCAAAATTTTTATCAATTTCAGATTATTAATATATTTTCCAAATATCTGTTTTTAATAAAATAAAAAATATTACGAAATTGTTTTCTTCTTCCATACATTTATTGCCTGCCTATTTGTTTAATTAAATTATTTTATAATAAATTCTATTCCATTTTATTTTAATTTTTTCATATAACTTTATCTAGATTGGATAGTTTATTTACTGTATGTTATCAAAATTTTTGTGGGAGATTAATTAAATCATGAAAAAATATTATTAGAATAAGGCACTTTTTTTTTGCCAAAAAAGATACTTAGGGAATGCCTTAATTAATGAGCATTTACAGTATATAATAGAAAAACAATAATAAAATATATCTATCTATTAGTATTTTAGGTTAATAAACTTTATAAAATATAAAATATTATTCAAATATTTTATATTTATTCATCCTTTTTTCGCCACTTGTTTATCACTCAAATAATATTTCAAAGACAACTAATCTTTTTGATTTAAGACACTTGCTTATTACTTTCAATTTTTATGGTTTATTTAACTTTCTAAAAATATAAAAATAAATTTGTGTAAATTTTAAATTTATATCAAATAAAATAAACTTTTAAATTAAAAATTATTTCTTAAATTAATAAATAAAATAAAATTAGTGATAAAAAGATAAAAAAATTAATCAAATATAAGCTATCAAATATATTCAAAGAGCTTTTTTGCTTTATTTTCATTTTTATTGTTTAAAATATGAAAAAATGAAGAAAAAATATAAAATTATAAGATTAATTAATTAATAATAAAAGCAAAAGTTGAAAATAAAATGATGAGTTAAATTAACAAAGAAAGAACAAAAAAAAAGCAAGCAAAATTAAAAAAGAGCTTTATTGTTTTAAATTAGTTTTTATAATTAAAAATATCACAATCCAAAACAAATAAACTGTTTTTACCCAAGATGAAGTGTCAAATTTGAGAGATTAATGCATTTAGCTAAACCAGAACCTAAGCCTGATGCACCAATTGCACCAATTTAATTGAAACTTTTTAAATATTGAAAAAAATATTTATCATTAAATAGTTAATTAGAAGGAAAAAATGAAGAAAAATATGAAATAATAAGATTAATTAATTAATTAATAATAAAAGCAAAAGTTGAAAATAAAAGGATGAGTAAAATTAACAAAGAAAGAACAAAAAAAAAAGCAAGCAAAATTAAAAAAGAGTTTTATTGTTTTAAATTAGTTTTATCATTAAAAATATCACAATCCAAAACAAATAAACTGTTTTTACCGAAGATGAAGTGTCAAATTTGAGAGATTAATGCACTTAGCTAAACCAGAACCTAAGCCTGATGCACCTTCGTCACCAATTTAATTGCCACTTTTTAAATATTGAAAAAAATAAATATCATTAAATAGTTAATTAGAAGGAAAAAATGAAGAAAAAATATGAAATAATAAGATTAATTAATTAATAATAAAAGCAAAAGTTGAAAATAAAATGATGAGTTAAATTAACAAAGAAAGAATAAAAAAAAGCAAACATAATAAAAAAAGAGCTTTATTGTTTTAAATTAGCTTATATAATTAAAAATATCACAATCCAAAACAAATAAACTATTTTTACCGAAGATGAAGTGTCAAATTTGAGAGATTAATGCATTTAGCTAAACCAGAACCTAAGCCTGATGCACCAATTGCACCAATTTAATTGAAACTTTTTAAATATTGAAAAAAATAAATATCATTAAATAGTTAATTAGAAGGAAAAAATGAAGAAAAAATATGAAATAATAAGATTAATTAATTAATAATAATAGCAAAAGTTGAAAATAAAATGATGAGTTAAATTAACAAAGAAAGAACAAAAAAAAAAGCAAGCAAAATTAAAAAAGAGCTTTATTGTTTTAAATTAGTTTTCATAATTAAAAATATCACAATCCAAAACAAATAAACTATTTTTACTCTAGATCAAGTGTCAAATTTGAGAGATTAATGCATTTAGCTAAACCAGAACCTAAGCCTGATGCACCTTCGTCACTAATTTAATTCTCACTTTTTAAATATTGAAAAAAATATATATCATTAAATAATTAATTAGAAGGAAAAAATGAAGAAAAATATGAAATAATAAAATTAATAAATTAATAATAAAAGTAAAAGTTGGGAATAAAATGATGAATTAAAT